TGTGTGTGTGACTGGCCATCTGTCGAGAGGGCTCAGGTCGTGTCTCCCTGATCAGATTGTGAATGGACTGGTGGCCCTTGGGGTCTCTCCCAACTCCAGGATTCTGTGATCCTGAGATTTGGTGTTGAAGGTGTGTATGTACATCTCTGTGTGTGTGACTGGCCATCTGTCGAGAGGGCTCAGGTCGTGTCTCCCTGATCAGATTGTAAATGGACTGGTGGCCCTTGGGGTCTCTCCCAACTCCAGGATTCTGGCCCTCGAAATTCTCTGGCCTTGCGTGTCTGGGCATTGCTTCTGTGTTTGGGGGTCCCCATGTAAACTTCTCGTCCACAGCTGCACATTGTGTGGTAGACTCCCCACCCCACTTGCCTCATTAGCAACAGAACCTCTGAAGATGCCATTGGCTACAGATGCAGGCGAAACGTCAGGAGAGAATGCTACTAGAACATGGCTGGGATTCTGCTGCAGGATTCTCCCAGGATTCCGTTGCAGGGAGCCTTCGCAGCTGAGGAGGAGCGACAGCACTTGAAGAGTGCCGCGTGATAATGTCCTAAATCACGTAATTGGAAAATTACTGACTTTACAATTTGTCTAACGATGCTTATGTCGCTGGGGGGAGAAATCAATAAATGTATAGATTTAAAAGCTAAGCAGAAGGAGGAGGAGGAGGAATGCCCTGAGAGAGGGTCATGGCTGGAGACCGAGACGGAGAGAAGGCACATGCAGAATCACTGGGTTGCTGTCCAGCAGCATTCTCTCCTGATGTTTCACCTGCATCTGTGGCTAATGGCATCTTCTCCTCCTGCAAGGCTCATGCGCGGCACATGCAGGAATCGGGGCCCCAGGGGCATCTCAGGGTTGGGTGGGAGGGACTCTTCTTTGCAGTCCCAAACACATGCCCAGCGTGTTCTTGACACCTTTCATACCCAGAATCACTGGGTTGCTGTCTGGCCATGTTCCAGCAGCATTCTCTCCTGATGTTTCACCTGCATCTGTGGCTAATGGCATCTTCAGAGGTTCAGTTGCTACTGAGGCAAGTGGAGTGTGTATATAATATCTGTGGAATAATGTCCAGGGTGGGAGAAAGAACTCTTATCTGTATTACCGAAGGCTTTCATGGCCAGAATCATCGGGTTGCTGTCTGGCCATGTTCCAGCAGCATTCTCTCCTGATGTTTCACCTGCAACTGTGGCTAATGGCATCTTCAGAGGTTCAGTTGCTACTGAGGCAAGTGGAGTGCATATATAATACTGTATAGGGTGGGAGAAAGAACTCTTGTCTGTATTGTCGAAGGCTTTCGTGGCCAGAATTACCAGGCTGCTGTAAGTTTTTTGGACTGTATGGCCTGTGTATAGGGTGGGAGAACAAACACTTGTCTGTATTGTCGAAGGCTTTCATGGCCAGAATCACCGGGCTGCTGTAAGTTTTTTGGACTGTATGGCCTTGTTCCAGAAGCATTCTCTCCTGACATTTCACCTGCATCTATCTCAGGCATCTTCAGAACTTCTGAGGATGCCTGCCATAGATGCAGGGGAAACGTCAACTTGTAGGTTACATGATAACTAGCTGTGGCGCAGCTAATTAGTAGCCAGCTGCATTAAATCACTACTGACTGAGAGGTCATGAGTTCAAAGCCAGCCTGGGTCAGAGTGAGCTCCCAGCCATTAATAGTCTAGCTTGCTGTTGACCTATGCAGCTCAAAAGACAGTTGCATCTGTCAAGTAGGGAGGGAGAGCCAAGACTCCAGAGGACAGGATTAGAGAGATGATGGGACAAAACTAACACAATGAAGTTCAACAGGGACAAATGCAAGAGACTCCACTTTGGCAGGAAAAACAAAATGCAAAGAGACAGAATGGGGGACGATGAGGCCTGGCTCGAGAGCAGGACGTGTGAAAAAGATCTTGGAGTCCTCGTGGACAACAAGTTAAACATGAGCCAACAATGTGATGTGGTGGCAAAAAAAGCCCATGGGATTTTGGCTTGCATCAAGAGGAGCATCATAGTGTCTAGATGTAGGGAAGTAATGCTCCCCATGCTCTATTCCGCCTTGGTTAGACCACACCTGGAATATTGTGTCCATTCTGGGCACCACAATTCAAGAGAAATATTGACAAGCTGGAATGTGTCCAGAGAAGGGCGACTCAAATGATCAAGGGTCTGGAGAACAAGCCCTATGAGGAGCGGCTTAAAGAGCTGGGCATGTTTAGCCTGAAGAAGAGAAGGCTGAGAGGGGATATGATAGCCATGTATAAATATGTGAGAGGAAGCCACAGGGAGGAGGAGGGAGCAAGGTTGTTTTCTGCTTCCTTGGAGACTAGGATGCGGAAGAATGGCTTCAAACTACAAGAGAGGAGGTTCCATCTGAACATGAGGAAGAACTTCCTGACTGTGAGAGCCGTTCAGCAGTGGAACTCTCTGCCCCGGAGGGAGTGTGTTGGAGACTCCTTCTTTGGAGGCTTTGAAACAGAGGCTGGGTGGCCATCTGTCAGGGGTGATTTGACTGCAATATTCCTGCTTCTTGGCCGAATGGGGTTGGACTGGATGATGGCCCAGGAGGTCTCTTCCAACTCTTTGATTCTAGGATTCTAAGAGAGATTCCATCTGAACATCAGAAAGAACTTCCTGTGAGAGCCGTTCAGCAGTGGAACTCTCTGCCCCGGAGTGTGGTGGAGGCTCCTTCTTTGGAGGCTTTTAAACAGAGGCTGGATGGCCATCTGTTGGGGATGCTTTGAATGCAATATTCCTGCTTCTTGGCAGAATGGGGTTGGACTGGATGACCCACCAGGTCTCCTCCAACTGTAGGATTCTATGATGGTTGTGAGAGTGGTCCAGCATTTCTGTGTTCTCCAATAATCGTCTAGATTGGTTCATGCAATGCACGACTATGACTGACTTCTCTGGTCCTTGATTCGTCTCTGGACGTTGGTGCTGCATTTGGGGGTCCCCATGTAGACGTCTTGTCCACAGCTGCACGGTATGTGGTCAACTCCCCACCCCACCTGAGTCATTAGCAGCAGAACTTCTGAAGATGTCATTGGCAACAGATGCAGGCAAAAGGTCAGGAGAGAATGCTACTAAAACATAGCCATAGAGCCCCAAAAAAACTCACAGCAACCCACTTGCCCAGCGCTTCCCAAAGAACACAAACACACCCAGAGGCAGGCACACCACACTTACCCACCGACATACACAACCTGCACCCCCTTTTCTACCGGAGGCAAATTGGGGGTCCCTATGGAGACTTCTTGTCCACAGCTAAACAGTATATGGTAGACTCCCCACCCCACTTGCCTCATTAGCAGCAGAACTTCTGAAGATGTCATTGGCAACAGATGCAGGCGAAAGGTCAGGAGAGAATGCTACTTGGCCATAGAAGCCCCAAAAAAACTCACAGCAACCCACTTGCCCAGCGCTTCCCAAAGAACACAAACACACCCAGAGGCAGGCACACCACACTTACCCACCGACATACACAACCTGCACCCCCTTTTCTACCGGAGGCAAATTGGGGGTCCCTATGGAGACTTCTTGTCCACAGCTAAACAGTATATGGTAGACTCCCCACCCCACTTGCCTCATTAGCAACCATATACTGTTTAGCTGTGGACAAGAAGTCTCCATAGGGACCCCCAATTTGCCTCCGGTAGAAAAGGGGGTGCAGGTTGTGTATGTCGGTGGGTAAGTGTGGTGTGCCTGCCTCTGGGTGTGTTTGTGTTCTTTGGGAAGCGCTGGGCAAGTGGGTTGCTGTGAGTTTTTTATGCTCTATGGCCATTTTTCCGGTAGCATTCTCTCCTGACGTTTCACCTGCATCTCTGCATCCAATTTCCCCTTGCTCCCCCCCCCCCCCCTCATTATCCCTTCCGCTCCCGGCTCCGTCGTCATCTGCTCGGGATTTATCTCCGGCACGTTTTCCATCGGGCTTTATTAGAAGTTATTAAAGGATGGAGCAGCTTCCACTGGTTCGCTCATTAAATATTAATAGAGCATTTATAAAGCAATCCTTAATTTAAAGTGTTACCCTTAATCAAAGGCCCCGCGCTAACCGGGGGGAAAGCAAGGGGTGAGGGAGGGCAGTGTTTTGGATTGCAACTCCCACCATTCCTGACAACATGCCTGGGCCAACTTTGGCCCTCCCTCCAGGTGTTTTGGACTACAACTCCCAACATTCCTGACAGCAGACTTGAGCCAACTTTGGCCCTCCCTCCAGGTGTTTTGGACTGCAACTCCCACCATTCCTGACACCATGCCTGGTCCAACTTTGGCCCTCCCTCCACATGTTTTGGACTGCAACTCCCAACATTCCTGACACCATGCCTGGGCCAACTTTGGCCCTCCCTCCAGGTGTTTTGGACTGCAACTCCCACCATTCCTGACACCATGCCTGGGCCAACTTTGGCCCTCCCTCCAGGTGTTTTGGACTGCAACTCCCACCATTCCAGACAGCAGACATGAATCAACTTTGGCCCTCACTCCAGCTGTATTGGACTGCAACTCCCACCATTCCTGACAGCAGACCTGGGCCAACGTCGGCCCTCCCTCCAGGTGTTTTGGACTATAACTCCAAATATTCCTGACAGCAGACTTGAGCCAACTTTGGCCCTCCCTCCAGGTGTTTTGGACTGAACTCCCACCATTCCAGACAGCAGACCTGAATCAACTTTGGCCCTCACTCCACCTGTATTGGACTGCAACTACCACCATTCCTGACAGCAGGCCGGGGACAACTTCAGCCCTCCCTCCAGGTGTTTTGGACTGCAACTCCCACCATTCCTGACATCATGCCTGGGCCAACTTTGGCCCTCCCTACCGGCTGTTAGGAATGGTGAGAGTTGCAGTCCAAAACACCTGGAGGGAGGGCCAAAGTTGGCCCAGGCCTGCCTCCTCTAGAGCAATGGTTCCCAACCTTTGGCCCTTCAGGGACTCCAGCTCCCAGCATTCCCAGTCACCATGGCCAATATCCTTCTCAAGCTCTGCCCTCAGCATGGGTCTGAAACCACCTGGCGCTGCTCCCATAGGTGGGATCGTCCGCGTCAGAGGCCATCACCTGCATCACGGAAGTACCTACGTTTTGGGGAGAGAGGTAGAAGGGGAGTCCATGAGTGAAGGTGCAGCAGCCCCCCATTTGCTCCAGATCCCAGATCCCACCCCCTTTGCCCACCAATTCAGGTGGGCCAAAGCACACTGCACCCCACCTGCGCCCCACCTGCACCTGCCTTTGGTTTGTGCATTTCTTGGATCCCAAAGGAAGCCATGCAAAGTGTGTGTGGGTGTGTATATGGGGTTGCTCCAGATCCCACCACGTTTGCCCACCAATTTAGATGGGCCAAAGCACAATGCACCCCACCTGCACCCCACCTGTACCTGCCTTTGATTTGTGCATTTCTTGGATCCCAAAGGAAGCCATGCAAAGTGTGTGTGGGTGTGTATATGGGGTTGCTTCAGATCCCACCCCCTTTGCCCACCCAATTTAGATGGGCCAAAGCACAATGCACCCACCTGCACACACCTGCACCTGCCTTTGGTTTGTGCATGTCTTGGATCCCAAAGGAAGCCATGCAAAGAGTGTGTGGGTGTGTATATGGGGTTGCTCCAGATCCCACCCCCTTTGCCCACCAATTTAGATGGGCCAAAGCACACTGTGCACACCTGCACACACCTGCACCTGCCTTTGGTTTGTGCATTTCTAGGACCCCAAAGGAAGCCATGCAAAGTGTGTGTGGGTGTGTATGGGGATGGGGTCTCCCCCCTTCCTTCTGCCCCCCCCTCCCCGCCCAGACAGAGTCCGGCCTCCGCATGCTCCCCACGTCGCAGGGCACAAAGAGTACAAATTGGATAAAAGTCCATCAAACGGCTGCAATTAAGTTATTGATTTTCCACGCCGCCTCATTAAACCGGGGTCATTGAGGCTGTAACCTGATGGGCCTAATTTGACAGAATGCAGACTTTAACAAAAGGGGGGCACAAGGCATGCGGGGGGGGGGGGGCGGGGTGTATAGTTGGGGGCTTGCAGAAGGGCATCCACTATTACACACTCTGTTGGCAAACGTGGTCCATCCCCATGTGGCTCCCTCCGAGACCCCCAACTTTGGGGAAAGGGACCCCCCCCCCCCCAGGAGACATAAAGGCTGGCAAAGGGTGTCTCTCTGCCCCGTCCCCCCCCCCCCCCAAGGCTTCTCACTTAATTCCCCGGAGGAAAACCCAATTGGTTTTCATCGCCTCAGTAAAATGCAAAGCAGGAGGAAGGAAAATGAGAAAAGCAGGCAGCAGCCGGGATTGAAGCAGTCCACTGCATCCAAATTATGGGAGGAGGGGGCTGGGAGAGTGCCAAAGAGGGGAGGGCTGCCCCACCTTGCCTCGGAACAGAGACCCCCCCCCCACTTGCTTCCTAAGGACAACAGAAGCACAGCCCCAAACCCAGGTGAGGGGTCAGCCCTTGGCAATGCCAATGCAGCCAGGGTCCCCTCCAGCGTGACACACCCTCTCCGCATTGCTGTGAGTTTTCCAGGCTGTACAGCCATCTTCCAGAAGCATTATTTCCTGACATTTTTCCCACATCTATGGTAGGCATCCTCTGAGGCTGGGTTGCTGTAGGTTTTTCCGGGCTATATGGCCATGTTCTGGAGGCATTTTCTCCTGACGTTTCGCCTGCATCTATGGCAAGCATCCTCAGAGGTAGTGAGGTCTGTTGGAACTAGGAAAAAGGGTTTATATATCTGTGGAATGACCAGGGTGGGACAAAGGACTCTTGTCTGCTGGGGCTAGATGTGAATGTTTCAGCTGATCACCTTGATTTGTATTCAATGGCTTGGAAGTGCCTGGGGGGAATCTTTTGTTGAGAGTGATTTCATGTGCCTGTTTGTTTCCCCTCTGTTGTTTTGCTGCTGTAATTTTTGAGTTTTTTAATACTGGTAGCCAGATTTTGTTCATTTTCATGGTCTCTTCCTTTCTGTTGAAATTGTCCACATGCTTGTGGATTTCAATGGCTTCTCTGTGTAGTGACATAGTGGTTGTGAGTGGTCCATTTCTGTGTTCTCAAATAATATGCTGTGTCCAGGTTGGTTCATCAGGTGCTCTGCTATGGCTGACTTCTCTGGTTGAAGTAGTCTGCAGTGCCTTTCATGTTCATTGATTCGTGTTTGGGCAATGCTGCGTTTGGTGGTCCCTATGTAGACTTGTCCACAGCTGCATGGTACACGGTAGACTCCTGCAGAGGTGAGAGGATCCCTCTTGTCCTTTGCTGAACGGAGCATTGGTTGGATTTTCTTGGTGGGTCTGTAAGTGGTTTGTATGTTGTGTTTCCTCCTCAGCTTCCCTCTGCGGTCAGTGGTTCCCTTGATGTATGGCAAGAACACTTTCCCTCTGGGTGGGTCTTCGTCTTGACTCTCGTGGCTTCTTCTCGGTGGTCTTGCAGCTCTTCTGATGTCTGAGGTGGAGTCTCCATTGGCCTGGAGAGCCCAGTTGAGGTGGTTCAGTTCATCTTGGAGGAGAAGGTGGGGTTCGCAGATTCTTTTTGCACGGTCTGCCAAGGCTTTCATGGCGCTTCTTTTTTGACTTGGGTGATGGTTGGAGGTTCTGAGGCCTCTGAGCTTCTGAGGCTGCTGGAAACGAGGCAAGTGGGGTTTATGTACCTGTGGAATGATGTCCAGGGTGGGAAAAAGAACTCTTGTCTCATTGCAACATGCACATTTTCCTCAAGCAGACCAGAGTTCTTTCTCCCACCCTGGATATCATTCCAGAGACACATAAACCCCACTTGCCTCGTTTCCAACAGACCTCACAACCTCTGAGGATGTCTGCCAGAGATGCAGGTGAAACGTCAGGAGGGAATGCTTCTGGAACATGGCCAGGCAGCCCAGAAAACTCACAATAACTCACTTTATTTATTTTTATTTATGTATTATTCAAACTTATATGTGGCCACTCCCCTGGGGCTCGGAGCGGCTTACAAGAATGACTAAAATCTAACAAAATTTAAAACAATTTAAAAATAGCAATATTAAAAATCAAAGGCCTGTCAAAACAGGTATGTCTTACATGCGGAAAGCTAATAAGTCCCGCAAGGCATGGATTTCAGGTGGCAGAGTATCCCAGAGTGATGGTGCCACTGCTGTAAAGGCTCTGCGTCTGGTTGCTATTGGACGCAAGGTCTTGACACTGGGGACTTCCAACAGATCTTGGTCCTCAGAACGGAGGGATCTCTGGGGTTGGGAGGGGGTGAGGCGGTCCCTCAGGTACATTGGCTCCAGACCATGCCTGGCCTTAAAGGTGAGTACCATCCCTTTGAAAGTGATCTGGTGCTCAATGGGTAACCAATGCAGCTGCAGGAAGTTTGGGGTGATGTGGCATCTCATCGGAATTCCCGCAAGAAGCCAAGCAGCTGCATTTTATACCAACTTGAGCTTCTGGATCACCGACAGGGGAAGGCCGATGTAGAGGGCATTACAGTAGTCCAGTCTGGAGATGACCGTGGCCTGGATCACCGTAGCCAGGTCGTCCCTGGACAGGGAGGGGGCCAGCCGTCTAGCCTGCCGCAGGTGAAAAAAGGCGGTTCTGCTCATGGCAGCGGGAGACCTGGGCCTCCATCGTCCGCAGAGGGTCCAAAAGGACTCCCAGGCTCTTGACCAACGAGGACGGGCGTAGTGCCTCTCCATCCAGGGTAGGCAGTTGGATGTCCCCACTGCCCGGTTGACCCAACCATAGGATCTCCGTCTTTGCCGGATTCACCCTCAACCTGCTGGCACGCAGCCATCCAGTCACGGCCTCAATGAGGCACTGATGGAAACCATCGGGTACAGAGTCCGGTCGGCCTTCCATCCTCAGCACCAGCTGAGTGTCATCGGCGTACTGGTCACACTCCAGCCCAAAACCTTGAACCAGCTGAGCAAGTGGTCACATAGAGATGTGAAACAAGAGAGGGGAGAGAATGGCCCCCTGAGGAGGAACCCCACAAGAGAGAGAGAGAGAGGGGACCTCTCAGAGACCAGGCCTCCCCTCTCCACTCGCTGTCCACGGTTGTGAAGAAAGGAGGACCGCCTTTCATGGCTGGAATCTGGGTTGTTATAGGGTTTTTTCGGGCTATAAAGCCATGTGGGCGTATTAGGTATTTGTTTATTTATTTATTTGCTGCATTTATTGACCGCCGCTCTCAGCCCTAGGGCGACTCGCGGCGGTGTACAACATATAAAAACAGTTTACATTTGTGCCAAATTTGGTCCAGTGAATGAAAATCCTCCAGATAGAATCATAGAATCATAGAATCCAAGATTTGGAAGAGACCTCATGGTCCATCATCCAGTCCAACCCCATTCTGCCAAGAAGCAGGAATATTGCATTCAAATCACCCCTGACAGATGGCCATCCAGCCTCTGTTTAAAAGCTTCCAAAGAAGGAGCCTCCACTACACTCCCTCCGGGGCAGAGAGTTCCACTGCTGAACGGCTCTCACAGTCAGGAAGTTCTTCCTCGTGTTCAGATGGAATCTCTTCTCTTGTAGTTTGAAGCCATTGTTCCGCGTCCTAGTCTCCAAGATCAGACATGACGATTCATAATAGGAGCAAAATTTCAGTTGTGAAGTAGCAACGAAAATAATGTTATGGTTCGGGGGGTCACCACAACATGAGGTCATGGCATTAGGAAGGTTGAGAAACACTGCTCTAGAGGGAGGGGCCCTTGCAAAGCCCCCTCTGCGGCCCTAAATCCAGGAAAAGTGCATCCAAATAGTCCCCCAGTTGGTGCAGGAGGCCCCCACCTGTGCTCTCCCAATCTCCCCAAAGAAGGCTGGAAAGAGGAGTTGCAGGGCAATGGCCAGGAGACACATACACACATCTTGACAGATTGGAGAGATGGGACAAAACTCACACAATGAAGTTCAACAGTGACAAATGCAAGATACTCCACTTTGGCAGGAAAAACGAAATGCAAACATACAGAATGGGGGATGCCTCGCTCGAGAGCAGTATGTGTGAAAAAGATCTTGGAGTCCACGTGGAAAGGAAGGTGAACATGAGTCAACAACATGATGTGGCGGCAAAAAAAAGCCAATGGGATTTTGGCCTGCATCAA